AAGGAAAGAAGGCTACTGGCCGTAAAATTCAGAGGAGAGAAAAGAGTTTGCAGGGCGGAAGAGTGAGGCTCTTGAAGGACAGAAAGATAAAATACACACACAAAAAAAACATAAATTCCTCATCTCTAGCTCCTCTAAGCAAAGTCAAAGGAAAAAAAAATTGAGAAGCTTGCCTAACCTAGTTGGTGCCATTATGCTGTGTTGTACTGCAGTACTGAAGCCATATGGCTGATCACTGGTTCATATCCCCAGGTGGGTCTGAAGACATGGTGGATGCACATTCCAGTTCCCAGTATCCTGAGAGCTAGAGGGCTAGGGAAAGGGAACTGAGGTTTGACAAGCCTCTATTAAAGGTATCTCTCTCTCTCTCACTTTCATGCATGTGTACATGCTTTTTATCATTAAGAAAAAAAATATTAAGCTTGAGCTCTGTACTCATGTTTCACTGGGATTGAGTGCTGAGACCTGCAGGTGATGGGCAAGCGCACCTAAGGGGATGAATAAAAACTGGAGACCAGGGACAGTCAGGAATTGGGTCGTCACACATTGGAGCTTAAAGAACATGAATCTGACAGTCCTGGGTCAGCATGTAAAGAAAGTAGGAGACAATAGTAACAAAGCAATGAGGTGATTAGGTGGGAGGTTAGGAGGGAGTGTGTTTGTGTCAGGCCAGCTTGGGCAAAATTCTGGGGACTGGAAAGTGAGGATGTGGGATGGCGCAAGGCGATAGCCTAAGAAAGGCAATGTGATTCTGGCTCTTCTTATCTACAGTCTTCATTGCAAGTAAAACAATCTCCTGGTTTTAACTACTCCCTCTTTGCCTGTAGCCTCTGCCTTAGTCTGCTATTGTATTGCTGTCAGAAATAGCCAACACTAGATAATTGTAAAGCTTAGAGGTTTATTGAGCTCATGATTCTGGTGATTGGAAAGTCCAAAGGCATGGGGCAGCCTCAGGCCAGCCTCTGGGGCTACATCACAGCATGGCCAGCAGCAGCAGAGAGTATGGCAAGTGCATACAAGGAGAGATGTCCGGGGACAGCCATCTTCCTTTTGTAGTAGCCTACTCTTACGGGAACTAGTCTCTACAAGACCTCAAAGTCAATCTGGCATTAATCCATTCATGAGAGTGATGCCATCATAATTCAAATGTCACCCACTAGGCCTCACTTCTTTTCAAGTTTATTTATTTATTCCATGAGTTAGTGAAAGAGAAAGACAGTGTCATGATGCTGAGATCCACCACCAGCTTCCTCCAGCCCAGATCATGGGCACAAGTGACCTGGTATACTCTAGTCTCCAGACTTGAACCAGCAACCTTCCTATATCAGTCTGCCTCACAGAGTGTTGTGTTTTACCACTGTAACATAGTCTGACCCCCAAGCCTCACTTCTTAAAGGTCTTGCCACCTCTCAATTGTCATTATACTGGGGACCAAATTCTACTTTGGGAGACAAACCATTATCTAAACCATAGCAACTCCCAAACCTCTGTCTCCAATTTGGATATCTTCCTAACCTTACACCCACTTTCTAGGTATTTACACTTGGTTGTCCCAGAGACACTTAACTCTCAGCAAATCTTACTGCAGAGCAACTTGGACAAGTCTGTTCATAGCAGTTTTATTACTAGCCCAAAAGTGGAACAGTACAAATGCCCATAAATAGGAGAATGGGTAAACATAAACAATGAATGCTACTCAGCAATACAAAAGAGCAAATGACTGATTCATGCGAGAGCATGGATGAATTTTAAGAACATTTTGATGACGCAAAGCCAGGCACAAAAGAATACATACTTTACGATCCCATTTAGGTGAAATTTAAGAACAAATAAAAAAAAAAAAAAACCCATGCTGAAAGAAATCAAACAGAGATTGCTTTCGTTGGGGGTGGGATTGGCTAGGAGCTTTCTTAGGATGATAGAAATGTTCTGTATCTTGTTTGGGGTGTAGGTTTACGTAAATGCATCCATTTGTCAAAATTCATAGGACTGTACACTTAAGATTTGTGCATTTCACTTTGTGAAAAGTGCACCCACTTTGGTTTTTAAAACATTAATTACACAAAGAGGAAGAAATGATGATTTAGTAGCTTTGGTCCCTGAATGATGGCAATAGAACATGTATCCCCTGAGAAGAGATAACCATTGCAGTTGTCAGCCGCTATGGGAAAGGGGAAATCTCAACATGTTTGAATTCAGACTAATCATCTCATCCCACTGTCTTGCCCACACTTCCAAACTTGCTCCTTTTCCACTCAGCATTTCAGTGAGAAGAACTACCATCCTCCCTGTTTCTCAAAACAGAAGATGGGAAGTTGTTTTTATTTCTCATCTCCCTTCTTCCTGCCCAGTCTGCCACCTAGCCGTGACAGTTTGGTCCCCTATGTAGATCCACTTGGTTATTATCTGCACTACCGAAACTGAGTTCAAACTGCCATTTCTCACCTTGACAACTGCGGTTCCTTCCCTGTGGTCTCCAAACATAACCTTCGAATGGGTCTCTTTATCCAGAGGGATCTTCTAAGTATAGTAAGATCATACCATGGGCCACGCGTGACACCTTTCAGAAGCTGTCAGTGATTCTCAGAATCAGTCCAAACTTCCTAACGTGATTTACGAGGTTCACCTAAACTTTTGGGTGCATTCTGTGCCATCCACCTTGCACTTCATGCTCCGGCCAGAGGAATTAGTGTCTTCCCCCTTGACTGTGTCTTGCTCTCCATTCCATAAATGCTGTTTCTGCTGCTAGCACCAATTCTCCATATGGATATCTCCAACACGTTTCCTGGACAGTGTGGAGGACCCAATACCTGCTAGAAGCTCATTTTTAAGCATTTGTTATGTTTTTTGCCTAGAATGGAACTTGGCATGAAACAGGCCCTCTGATAAGTATTTCTTCAATGGATGAACAAATGAATGTATCTTTCCAGATATTTAAAACCCTAAAAGAAAATTTACTGTGTCTTTATCTTCAAAAAAATGACTGAATTAGGTTAGCAGGTAGTATGGTGGGTAAGTCCCTGGACTCCCACGTGGCCAACTGTGCTTTGAGTCTTGGCCCTGGTGACTTGCTTTCTCACTTTCTCTCTCTCTGGTGAGTCCAGGTGCCCTATAGCAAACAATAATAATAATAATAATAATAATAATAAATAAAATTAAATAAATATTTCTTTTTAAAAATGATGACTGAATAATGCAACAGTAATTATACTAGCTGCTGTTTATTAAGCATCTATTTCATGCCAGGAATGGGCTTAAGAACTCCATTATACATTATGTCACTATCTCCACTTTCTTAAAAGGGGGACTGAGGTGTAGAAAGGTTTATTCACCAAATGCAAGTCAGCACTATTCTGCGGCAGGCACTCATTTAGGTACTGTGAAAACAGTGGGAAAATTATACAGCCAAAATCCTTGCCCTTAGGGCATGAGAAGAAAGAGTACATTTTTTAAAAAGTAAATAAATGCAGGGACCTCAAAAAATTAATGGAAAATGTAATGAAATCATGAATTTATTTTGGTGCAAAAATTTTTGAAATTCATACCATTTTTTCATAATACACATTTTACAGGACTACGCTATATTCAATAGTTTATAGGAGGGTGCAAGTGATAAAGAAAAAATACAATAAGTAAATGGGATGGAATTAGCCAAGAACTATTTCCTGAAGGGTAATAGGGCTTTCTTATCAGAGATAAGAGAGCTCAAGGCAAAGAATGCTCTAAGCAAAGGGAATGGCAGGCCCAAAGGCCCTGGGGCAGGAGCACGCGTGGTGTATTCAGATCATTGCAAGAGGCCAGTATGAAAGTAGCAGGGAAAAGGAGCTGAATCAGAGAGGGTGTAGAGGGGCCAGGTTACCTGTGCCCTTTGGCTTTTACTTTGAGAGCAATGGGAAGTTTTAAGATATTTGGAGAGAGGAGCTTCATGAGTGAACTGATTTCTTCGGGGCCACACAGCTGATCCATGTCAGAATTGGGATTCCAACCTGAGCTTTCCCTCCACAGTTTTCTCTGTCTTAAAAGTAAATCCAGTAACAAGGTTCTGGTGGCTGCAGGCGTCCTGCTGCCAGCCTCCTGTTCTCTCCTCATTCCAAAGCATGAGCTGCCCTCTGAGCTACCAGTCAGCTGCTCACAGCAGGGAGCCCCTCCCTTACTGCACTGAGGACAAATGTGGGCCTGATCCATCGATTTAGTTAACAAATACTTAGCTGAGAACTACACTAGTTGTCAGGAAAATTGCAGCGAATAAGACATATTCCCCGTCTTTGCAGAGTTTCCAGATTACTGGAGAGAAATAAACAAGCAGTTATCCAATATTAATGGGAACTGAGAAGGAGGAAGGGAGCAAGGAGGAGGGGAACCTAGTTCAGAAAGAGAATCAAGAAGGGCTTCCTGGAGGAAGCAGTGGGTAACTAGTTTAGCAAAAAGGAGAGAACAGCACCAACAACAGGTGAAAAGATCGTTAGGTAGAAGGGGCCCAGAACATTCAAAGGAGTAAAAGGAGAATGAAGCTGGGCTGCAAGGAAGAAGAGCCTTGGAAGCGATGATGTTGGAAAGCCAGGGAGGGCCTGATAACATAGGCCAGTGAGAGGCCTACGGTACTCCTCCCTTCTCCTAAGGATAATAGGACACTGCTGAAGCATTTTAAGCAGCAGGTGGCATGGTTGGGTGTGACATTCACTCTGGCTGTTTGTGAAGTCCAGTTTTGGGGGAACCAATGTGAGATATCCGGGTGGGAGATGATGGCAGGTAAAGTTAGAGATGGAAAGAAGTAGATGGATTCTAGAGACAGTTGGGAGGAAAAAGCCAACTCCTGGTGATGGATTAGACACAAAGGATAAAAGAGAGATGGAGGGACCAGTGATGGCCTCCAGGAATCGGGCTGTGGAAAGGCTGTATGGTCATGCCTTTCACATGGATGGGCTTCCATATGTACACGCATCTTCCTAAAAGGGCATCCTCAAACCCTAATGGTGTGCTTTATGTGCTTCCCTTTTCAGAGGGCCAAGATCGGTCAGGGAACCAAGGCTCCGGAAGAAAAGACGACCAATACCATATCCAAATTTGACAACAATGGCAACAGGGATCGGATGAAACTAACTGATTTTAACTTCCTGATGGTGCTGGGCAAAGGCAGCTTTGGCAAGGTATGGTGTGATGCTGGTGCGGGGACCACAGCTGCTCCAGAAGGAACAGCTAATGAGTCAAGTGCTTTTGCCATTCGTGTGGGGCTCACATTCTAGTGGGGGAGAGAGTAAACGGTAAACACATCTACACTGTAATTGTAATGAATACCATGAAGGGAATGAATAAAGTGCTGCGTCATAAGTAAGTCAAGAAGGAACCCACTCAGACCGAGGAAGTTACATAGAAGCTGAGAGCTGAAAGAGGAGAATGAGCCAGTCATGCATTCAAAGAGTTGGGAAAGTATGTTCCCAGCAGAGAGAACAGCAAGTGCAGGGGTCCTGAGGTAGCAAAGGTGTTGGGGCCAAAAGGTCGTGAGCAGAAGGAGGTGGCAGTAGGACGTGAAGTTGCAGAGGTAAGCAGGGCCCGATCATGCAAAGCCTTATGATCTATGATGAGGAGTTTGGATTTATTCACAGTGCAAGGGGGAGCCATTGAAAGTTTTTCAGCAGAGAAGTGACAAGAGCAGATTTGCCTTTTGGAAAAGATCACTGTGGCAGCCAAGAATGGAGACAGTGTCTTTCAAACAACAGCACAGTTGAAGGATGACCCTGGGACTCGTAGAGTGATTCTGGATGCTTTTATCGATACCACGAGACACTGTTTTACTGAAGTTGAGATTGTGTTATAAGTATTCCTGACTTGTTTAGTGTTGTTTTGAGTCTTTTAATCCCTTTGTGTGCCACAAAGATGTCTGATATACATCTCATACCACAAACTGAGGTGTGCAAAAAATATCAATTTCTTACCCGTCTCTGTAGCTTAAGCCAAAAAACATGCCTGTTATCTTCAAGTTCATCTCTTTCCCTCATTCCCCTCCTCCCTCCCTTTTCCTCCACCATGTACAATTCATCAGCAAATCATAACAGTTTCTCCAAAGCATACCGTGCATCATTCACTAACTTTTCTCCATCTTCACTAATATTAATCACCCAAAGCGCTAGAGAAGCTCCTGGGTTTTTTTTTTTTTTTTTTTTTTCTTGGTCTTATTATCTATAATCCATAGACAGCAGTCATAGGATTTTTTTTTTTCTTTTTTTGGAGAGATTTTTGCTATAGGGCGCATGCGCTTGCCAGAAAGACAAAGACAGAGAGACAGAAAGCGAGAAATCCCTCTCCCCCCCTCCCCCCCCCGAGGAGGTATGGCCACGCCGCAATCCCTTCTCCTCCATTCTCCTCTCCGGGTCTTGGGCACACACGCACACACGCCTGGTGTGAGTTTAAGCCACCAGGTCCAGGACCGAACCGCGGTTGACTACATGGGAGTTCAGCGACATAGCCATTATGCTAACTGCTGGTCCCATGGAACTTTTTTTTCTAAAGATCGTTTTCTTCTCCTAATGCTCATTTCCTCCATGAACAAAAGAGACAGAGACAGAGAAGGTGTGAGAGAGAGTTCCTAACAGGGTCCTGACAACTTGATCCCCCACCAGCCCCAGATCATGGGCAAGTGTGTGTTTGGAACATTCAGGAAGGTCTCTGAACTTGAGCTGGAAACCTTGGCCTGTGGTTCAGCCTCAGAGAGTGTCACATTTCACTGTTATGCCACTGTCTGGCCCCTATCGTAATTTTTAAAGCTTACATTATGTCAAAGCTTTGAACTCTCAGTAATTTCCCATCATAATTAAAATAAACTACCTTGCATCCTTGGCTTATTTTGCCCTTTATAATCTGGCCCTTGTTCTCTTGACTTCTTTTTATCTTTTTCTTTTCCTCATGACTCATGTAGTAGCCACAATGGTGGCTCTTGGTTTACTGAAACACACAAAGCTCCTTCGTCCCTCAGGTCTTGTGTGATGCTGTTTCCTTGGTCTCTGCATGACTAACCCTTCTTGTAATTCACATTACAGTGTAGATATCACCTCTTCTGAGAGGTCTTCCCTGACCACTCATTGATTTTCCATTATATTTAATTCTCTCATAGCTCCCATCAGATATATTTTTTAAAGTTTTTTTATTCCATGAGTGTAAGGAGAAAGAGAGACAGGCACTCCAAACAGGATCCTCATGCTGTAATCCCCCCACCCCCCCGCCATCCCCTCTTCCCCAGCTTGAGCCAGACCTATTAGGTCATCAGGAAAGTCATGGCACATTTTTGTATAGAAAAACATAGATAAATACGTTATGACTTTTCTGACAGTCCAATAAACCACAGGCATACATGGGCTCAGTATGCTCAGGGAGGTCTCTGGATGTGGACTTGGAACATTCCCACATGGGTCTGCCGCACGGAATGTTGGGTTACCACTGTGCCACTCTCTGGCTCCACAGTCTTATTTCAAGAGTAGGAATCATCTCTGTTATGGTCACATTGTACCTCCAGTGTCAATTGAACTTATCCAGTGCCTAGGCTGAATGCATGAGTTTTTTCTGTCTATGGGTGGCAAGATCATCTGCTGAGATGGAATAAGGAACCTGAGGTAGTGGCCTAAGAGCCAGCCTCAACATGGAGTGAGACAGAGAGTAGAAACACCAGATAAGATTGCCACACAGTCTGGAAGTCCATGAGGTTAGAGAGTAGGCAGTTAGTCGTGTGATTTTTGCCAGCAGCCCTGGACAACTTTGATATGGAGATGGAGGAGCCGATGGTGGATGAGCCAAGAGTAAGGATTAGCAAAATCATTAAGCCAGAAGATCACAGTCATAAGGGAGTTAAGGATTCTGGGAAGGGAGAGACCACTGCAGATCTAGTCTGGCCTATAGCAAGTGCTCAATATAAGTGTGTTGCATGAAGGAATGGAAGTAGTATCTAGATTGGGTGGGAAGGAAGTCCAGCAGGAAGGACTGGCCCCGTAGCATAGTGGTTAAGTGCCATACATAAAAAAACTGATCCCACCTGGCTGACTGCGGTTCCAATCCTGGCTCTGTTGGCTTGAAAATCATGCCAGGCATGTGTGTGTGCTCAAAACCCTGATGAGCTGGAGAAATGGGGGAAAGGCGATGGTGGCATTGCCCTGCCCCACTAAGGGCTGCTTTCTCTCTGGTGAGTGCATGCACCTTTTAAACAAAGGAAAAAACAATTCAAGCTGGAGGAAGGTCGTTACGTGGGTGGGAAAGAAGGTGTCCAGTGGTCTAAGGATGAAAACCAAATGGCTGAGGTCAAGACAGTGAAAATGTTGTTTAGATTTCAAAGATGGAGCAGTTTCCCTGAGGATAAAGATGGAGCAATTTCCTTGAAAACAGGGAAATGGCCTAAATAAAGAAGAGGTTCTAATAATCTGAAGCTGTTGGGGAATTAAAAAGAATGAAATTATACTTTTAATAAGCAACATACTCATATGCTTCATAATTAATATGATGTTGAAAGGATAAACATGGAGAAGTCTTGTTCCTACCCAAGTTCACACCTTTTGGTGACCCCTTATTGCTACTGCTGTTTGTATGTGAACACTCGTTAATTTAGTTGGCATCTTTCTTGTCTTTCTATGCTAATTTAACATTTTTATGCTTGTCCTTGTTAATTGAAAAGTTAGCATGTTATGAATATGTTTTTGATTGCTTAACAATATAGGTTGGGAAATTGTTGATGAAAGTTCAGCGGATCTTATGGAAAGGATTGGGGTTAAAGGGTGGGTGGAGTTGTGGGAAAATGGATCATTGGGGAACAGTGTGTGAATGGGAGAGAATAGATCATGTGTTTCCATGGTAACTGTTATAATAATTGAGAGTTTTGTTCCAGACTAGGAATGTAGCATCAAATATATCATAGATGAAAACAACAGTATGCCTTGAAAGTGAAAAGAATAACAAACACCACTATGATCCTTTAAAACATATAGTAACCCATTGCAACTCTAGTTTTGCCAACCATGCTTATAAATTAATGCGGTTTCACATCTCGATGCCTACTTTGAACATTTTGCAGCCTGGTTAGATGTATAGATCAAGCTTCTAACAGAGGAACACAACAGCAGTCATTTGCTCCTCTTACAAAGGTGAAAGAGATTTGTCTTTAGGGCAATCTGTTTACACCTCACCTACCCCCGAGTCCACTATATCAGATCTGGCTCAGAAAAACATACTCTTAAGCACTGCAATAATTTGTGGAGTGATTAAGGAAATACATAAACATTTTGCTAAGACTTGTGAAGATTAAACAAAGGAGAAAGCAAATGTGAAGCCATTAAGTAATATTTCAAGAACTTTAAAAAGGGGCTGGCAAGTGGCATGGTGGTTAAGGCACTGGACTGATCACATGGCTGACTACAGTTCAAGTCCTGGACCTGGGTGGCTTGCTTTCTCACTCCTTTTCTCTCTCTTTCTCAAATTAAAAAGGAGAAAAATAAAGAGGCAAGACATTTATGGGACACAGAAATGGATTATTATCTGTTGATGATAACATATATAGTATCCCCAACTGGATTGGTGAGAAATGTATTCATGTTGGAAAATTCACTTTATAAGTTAAGTGATGTATAGTGATTGAATGTATAAAATAAATTAAAATAACATTTATTTAATTTAAAAATAATAATAAATAAAATTAAGTAAATAATTATTTAAAAAAAAAAACAACTTTAACATAAGAACAACTTGCAATGTCTGGTTTCCTGAACAGGGGAGGGTGTTTACCTGAAGGGCTCTCTTACCAGAGCAGGGCCCGTTGGCATGTCTGGCTTACTTGGAGGTGCTTGAAAATGCCTTCCACTTTTATTACACAGCATTCAAATGTATTGTCCACTTGTTATTTATTCTTGTTTCTTATAGTTTTGTCCTGACTCCTTTGTTTATGATTCCTTGAACCTTTAACTTCAACTTTGTCAACCTCTACACTCAAGAATTTAAGTTCTGTAGTTGTCGAGTGATTGCCAGAGTTAAAATTATGCTGCACATATATAAACCAGACAGATGTACTGTCCAGATGGATTCTACAAGCTTACCTTATGAAGCGAACACAGCAAGTACCTGATAAGTCTATGCACAGCTCAAATACAACTATTTACGTTGTATATTTGCTTCCTCT